ACATCCAACAGATTCAATGAAGTCTCGCTATGATTCTAAGTATTCAACTTGAATAAAAATCAATTCTTTTAATTAGCACTAATAACTGCATCAATCACCCAAATTCGTTCACATCAAGCAAACAAACTTGGTCAATCAAGTAACATGGTCAATCTCGTTTGAATCTGAAAGCTATCTCTTAGGCAATATATCTTCATATTCATGAAGATATATCGCCTAAGACATAGCTTTCAGATCATAAATATGGCATGTAGCAAATGAATGCAAAAATGAAGACAAAACAACACATCACATGTACAAATAAATCAATCACGTGACAAAATCATTACAATTCAATGACAAGGTCACATCGCTATCCTTGATCATGAGCACTCTTCAAGCGTTGTTATTAGACAAATTGAATTGTTTTTATCATGTCGACTTCTGCTTATAAACAATGCCAACACTCGCAACTCTAAAAGAATGCTTTCAGAGCAAATTCATAGCTCTGAAGGGAATTAGAGCAATTCCATGTAATTGTAAATGGAAAAATGAATAAATTTCCGCAATTATCGTCGATGCATCGCACACAAACAGTTTCAATTGTTCTCGAACAAAAACAGCCTTACATGGCAATCATAACACAAAACATGATGTATTATATTCATTAATATCCAACCAACTGCCATCCTATCCATCCATCCATCCCACTCATCGATCCATTCACTGGATAAATAAACAGAGCAGATGAAGAATGTCACTTCAAGAACAAACAAAACTAATATCCTATTTACTCTATATGCATTGCGATGCGGCGATTGCCATTCGACTGTCAACGTCTCATCCCAAATATTCTCGCCTCGTCTCGTATAAGCTATCATAAGCCTTGTCATAAGCAAGAATAGATCATCTTATCAGCTCATGATCATCGGATGAGGAGGTACACATGATACGATATGATAAACTTATCACGTCACTGATAAGCACGTTGTTAAGAATGATGAATAAATGAAACTTCGAAACGTTATCACGGAGTGAATGCCTTCACACTCGATTCATTCACATACAGCACAATGCATAATGCACACCATTTAGTCACACATACTTACATCAATGTTTTTTGCATCCTTTCCTAGAAATATCTCCTTCATATTGTGAATGCTGATTGCAAATGAACGCATCAATTCAATTAACGTCAATGTTTTCCTTTTATGCTACTTGTGAACGCTAATTTCGGTTGGCAAAAAATTTTGCGACACTGAAAAATCGACTGAATTGAATGCAATATGCATGCAATAAATATCACAAAATGTTCATCGCAAATAGATAAGATATTCCGAGTGTATTCATGTACTAGTCATATATTGTCTTTATTCTCCGACATATTTCAAAGCTAACGAATGTAATAGTTAGGTTGGTTCTTACGCAAGAAGGCATTCTTATTTCAAATAGTATTACTCATTTTATTGCTGATTCCATTGTATGTTGATGGTTATTGCTTATTGTTTATCACTTCTTAGTTCTCAGAAACAATTCTTTCTGTTCTCTGTGCGTTTCTCTTTCACAAATTGTTACCTATTAATATTTTTATGAGATTTTCAAATTGTGTTTTCGAATTCTCATTATCGATTTCATGGAATTCACACAAAAAAAGGCACTCAAGCTGAAATTCTGTGTGCAAAAAACTGTTCAAACCAACAATAATCGCCCACAAAATTGTCCTAAAACAGAGGAAGCCGCATGACAATACCTATATGCGCCTATGTAATAGTTTTGAAATATAACTAGTGAACAAAAAACTAACAAACGAACATGAAATTCCTAAGCAGATGACATGTGCAATTCAGCGTGGAACATCATCATTCCACTTAACAATATGAGCGACAAAATTTCAAAATTGAACGCGAACAGCGTTGGAAAAATTCAGATTCGAAGAATTTCTCGGTTTCATTTCATATCGACAAGCGAAACATCTGCTGCCACTCAAAAATCCAATCATTCAAATGCCCAACAGCATTCAAATGGCTTGGAATGTGTGCAATGAGAGAATTCAACACAAATGAGCAAAGTAAATGATGAAATATGAATGACTTACTTACTCAATGCAAAAAGTCAAAAATCCAACGCGATCGAGTCCGTTCGGGCGGCGCACAATGACTCAATTAAACTTCACATGAAATTAAGTGAATTGTCACACCGAATTTAATTTGATTAAATTTCTGAACTTTTCAAATATCAGCCCAAGCAAATTCCACAGCAGAGTATCAAATCAAAATTCCATTCACCTCGACACTCTCCCAACGAATCACCTTCACAGCAACGAAATCAACTCTTCTCTTACTAGAACGACAACAACACATATTCAGATTTGTATACGGATAGGTGAAATGTGCAACACACTGCACTACCAACCATCTGTCAAGAAGAACCAATCAACTGTCAATAATTACCAACCGAAACCAATCAACTGTCAATAATCTAATCGATAAACAAACTCAGTACCACTACTAGGACTACATCATAAGAAAAATAATCAAATCACGAATCCGTAGTGATCTGATCAATTAATACGGTGATCAACGCGTCATTCGTCAGTCTTATCAGTCGACTGATATAACGGTGAAAATGCTCAGATCTCTGCACTCGATCGACCAACTCATCGCAAACTCATGCCTAATTGCTTCATTTCCAACGGGCAATGGGCAGTTTGTAAGCAAATAGAACGAGGCTGGAAGACTAATGCATCATTCAATTACTCATAATCAGTGCATAAAAGACACGCACAAATGTCGACCAGCAAAACAAAACCGAAGAATTTCCATGTGAAAATCAAAGAATTTGTTCTGCATCTCACTTCATTTCGTATGGAATGTGTTTCTCGAAATCATCATCAATCATAAATTCGTTATCACGAAACGTTAAAGAAATCCAATAAAAAACAGCAGTCTCTTCACGCGTTACTGTCTTCATATCATGCAAATCGAGAACAAATACCATGAAATACACCATTGAATAACGCTAAGTACATTCTTTCATCTATAATACTTCTTTAACAATACTACTCGCAAACTATCAAACGTCAGCACAACACGCCAGGGAATATATAAAAGTGTTATGAAATTAGCATAATGAAAATGCATTGTTCCCTTGCATGCACAAAACAAATTGCACAATACATCATGCATGCAATACACAGAATATATTAAGAAACACCATATAAGGAACAACCATTCAGATCAATTGAAACGAGCACAGATCGCAACAGAACAGTACCTAGCAAACTGTACGAACTCTATTTTTAACATCCATACAATAGGTGGTACCTTTAATAACGTTTAACATTCGTTCATATGGTATAACCCAAATTAACCTCTAACATCATAGGTTAATCATTTGTTTAACGATGCGCTCATGCCATGACATCATTAAATGTTTGTAGCAATGAACGAATATAAAAATGAGATAGATCACGCTATAGCTATCATGATCAGTCACTGGAAAGAACACATCAAAAACTGTTCAAATGAACGCCACAATACGATTGGTATGAGAGGATTACGGCGTGAATTCATTACGATACATACGAATTTACAAAAGGAGTTTGTGTGATGAAGAGATAACTGTATGTCAATTGCACGCAGTTGATGTTCATCTTATTCACTGACACCATGCATGGATGCGCGTTTTTGTTGATATTATGCATGAATCAATATTAATTTTATATGAGATTCCGTCGTCTACTATTGGCATTGGTAGGCGTTAAACATATCAGCTCGGTTTGGCTCGGCTCAGCTCAACAATGCAAGCTTTTTAAAGGCAAGCCCAACTCGATGCCACCATCTCTTCATATAGAAATAATCAAATTTCTCGATTGGACATAATCCTTGCTGCTCGCATCATATATAATATAAGAGTGCATCGATGAAATATCATAATTCCTATCGCTCAACTAACCAACGAACAACCCCATGCACGTGTATCATAAATCGCATACTATCATAAATCATTATCACTCAGCAACCGTCATACACTCATCACAGCAAAATATCTCTACCAGAAAGCACCTGTCCTTATTTATGAACACACCAATCGTAAGATATGAATTTATGAAAGCTCTTCATTCAACAATCGAGAGGCAAACCCCTACATCCTCTCTAAATCCCTATAATAACATATAAATCCCTATATCTTCAAATTCCAATACCAAAGACCAAGTCTGCAGATCTCAAAACCTCGACTCAACATCCAATTCCCAACGTACATCTTCTAAAACAATAAAGTAAATCAACCAGCTATTCAACCAATATCCAATCAATCCGTGTGAAGTAAAATAACTCGCTATAAGCAATTTTTTTCTCACTGCAGTGGATGGGTGCAGCAGTTAGTGATAAAATTAATTATTATCAGTAGCGTTCGCTAAGGTTTTGCGATAACATCGGAAATGTGCACAACAATTTTATCACTGTTCTCTCGATCACTTTGAAAACAAATCGAACGGAACGTAAAGACAACAACACAACATCTGATCAAGCACAAGCCAATCATATAATCAACGCACGCAAATTGTGTCTTTGATTTGTGTTGAAATGATGAACGAAAATGTACGAATATTTGAGAAATGTATTAATATTAATGATTAAATCAGACTGAATTCTAACGAAATCGTTTACAATAATCAAGAAATCGTCAAAGCACAAAATAAATTTCCCTATTCTTGCAACGATCATCTATTCGAAATCGCACGCAATAGCAACGAAATGCCTTCGTTCATGAGCAATAATCGCAATGTACATAAATGAAATACATCATAATCAATCGAAATGAGATCAATGAAAAATGAGTCGAATTCGTACAAAACACATTACCTCAAATGGTGCCATTGCGTTGCCTGGTTTCAATGAGCTTATTATTATGATTATTCCATTCTAAAAGTACAATTTCATGTTACTGTTTATATAACGATCATAAATAATGTGATAATAGACGTTACACCAGAAAATACACTTCAAATATCAATTGATTGCGTTCAACTGGAACGAGAACAGAAGTATGCGAACACGTCAGTTCATCGATTCCTAGGCTCAGCATAAACAATCACAAATCAATGAGGTTCATTCTAGATGAGGAAATTACGAGCAATAATCGAAGTTAATAAGAACTTCATCAAATTTCAAGTATCGAAGCAATCACGATAATTATTTATAGACAACATTTCTAATATAGTCATATATCAATGATATCAAAAAATAATAATAGTAATGAAATGATGATACTGATACAATGCTGCTGAGAATGATAATAACAATCAACATGCACAGATACACCAGTCCTTATTGATTTCATCGAAAAGAGGATATGCCTGACGGTCGAGTAGATTCACAAGCGATTTGGCTCAGTTCTAACCCCGAAAATTCTTTTGAAAATTTACTTCAGATCTTTTTTGACCTAGTTTTAAGCGGTCCCTTACTGCTTCATCGAAACGAACCCAACGAATAAGAACAGGAATAGAAACGAAATAGAATCAGTCAGCAATAAGCTCGACAATAGCGTAATATTATACGTCAACATACTCATCAGTGTACAATACAAACAAATAAACGGATGCAATCCATTAAACTCCAAAAAAACTTCTATTTACAACTACAACACTTAAATGCTAACAAAATAAAGTATAAAAACTCCTCCATCTATCTCATTTCCCATCTCATAGTTATTACATCAGATTTATGCGATCGTCTACCCATAGCAGAATAAATCTCAAAGTAAATTCTCAATTGATATCCTTTCCTAATTCCTTCCAAACTGAATTCACAAAAAATATCCAACTTCAAATACTGAAAAAGCGAACACTATCAAATACTGAAAAACAAGCCGACCACTAGAAATCAGTAACAGAGGCAGTATAACGAGTGAACACATACATGAACAATCATCACAATAGCTACAATACAATGTGCAATCAATCGCAAACAATGAACTCTGACTGTACTATTGACAGTAACAATGAAAAAGATGATACACTTCATTTCAAACACAACAAAACGCAACACAAATAGAACTGATCTTGATGGCATAATACTTTACACAAATATTTAATATCCACCAGCTCATAAGCAAAAATTACAATACAGAAAAAACAATACAGTACAATACAATGGAAAGGTTGAGTATTTTTTAGGTACATAATTCACTCTTCGAAATATTGTATTCGTATGGAAAAGACTTGCTCCTGAAGATCATCATCTGCGTTGAGCACAAATAAAAACACCTGAAATTTTCATGAATGTTGACTGATATGAAAGTGAAACGATTATCAGAAATGAATCTCTTCCTGCTGGCAGTAAGAGATAACATATGACACGATAGTACTGAAAATAACCGAACGAACCTCCACAGAAAACGGCATTTGGTATGGCAGGAATGTGAGCGCTATTTGAGTAGCGCTATGTGCCTCTAAGTAAACGATTTCATCATCGATCGTTAAAAGATCGGGCTGGGAGGACACGAGGCGATAGGCACGTGCGATTCCGTACTCATTCGTCAATGGAATCTTCTAAACTCGTCAACTGTTTTCAAAACTTACTTCATTTCCACATATCACACTAATCAAATCGCAAAGTAAATTTCAAACTGAATTTTAAATTGCAATACAATACAACACAATTTTCAATCACCATTTCTTAACCAAAACCGACCACATTTCTATCATTCTAAAACTTCCCTTCCCTAACTTTATGATCGCTAAATCAATGTAAAGCAGCCAAAATAAAACCGATAAAATTGCTCATCTGCATGAAAACACTCGCCAAACCTTTATTAGCGTTCTTTTGACGGGTAAACGAATACGATAAATTTTATTGACATCTAACGAATCGACTTGAGCGTACAATAGCCATTCGTTGAGCAGTTGATGCGATCTTATGTCAATCGCTGTGATCAAAAAAGTTCTATCACCTGTAATCAACAATTAACAAAATTAGTTTTCAGTTTTTGTAACTGAAAATTTGCGATTTTTCTTGTCGATGGTTCTAAATTTTTGTATTTTTCAAGGGAAAATTCAAAATTTGAGAATGTTAACTGTAATGTTAACCAATAAAATCAGGCATGAACGTGGCATCGATTTCATGCAAACGCGTGTTTGCCGTTAAGAATGGCTCGGACGGGTGCAAAAGGATTCGTGAGGTGCACGATGAGAACAGTTGAACGCAGTGATCGTTACCATCCGTTCTGAATGCATCAAATACTTATCATTATCAATGCATCATCATTATCGTTAATTATAATAATTTTTCCAATTTTATGAACTGTTCAGAAATTTTGCTTTTTTTTCCATTAGAGATGGAAAAACGTTTTGTTGCACGTACACGAATAAGTATAACCAGAGACGAGAATCAGTGCGACGACTAACTTCAGAAGAAGTGGCAATTGTACGCGTTGAGCTTGAACAGTCTTGGCTTGAATCTTGTGCGCTGAATGCAAATGAATGGCCCACACCCCGATCAGCTCATAATTATATCTGTCCGCGTAAAGCAAAACAATAAACGAACGTAATGATGGCGAAGCGCTGGTGTGGCACTGCAATTGTTTTTAAATTTCATTCTTCTTTCAGTTATCAATCCAATTGAAATAGAAACTGCTTCAGAAAAAAANTTTCTCATTGAAAATCAGTGAGAATTTTCAGTAGGTCAAGTTTGGCGCTTGTGAAAAAAGAAGGAAATTCTGGGAAATGGTATGATTTCGGAGTGATAATCAAGCATTCTAGGAACCGTAATCACGATATCCTGCGTGTTGTCTGGAGCATCACGAACTGAGAGTAACACTGTGGGATCTGAGCATCGTACACTCATTACGTAGCGTCCATCTGAAAAAACACAGAAGATAAGAAAAAGATATTCTTTTTGGAAATCGTCACCATCTTTCTGCTCATAATTATTCCGTGACAGAATGAAAACCTTTTGTTCCACATATACGAATCACTTTGGTCAGCTTCATTTCTGCCTCAACGAAGAAGCGTAACGACTGACTGATGATGTTGGCACGATTCTGCGCTTGTACGTCGATTATCGCCAGTGGCTCACCATTGTCAACTCGTTTGAAGATCACCTGAACTCAACACAATCAAAAAGCACAATTATCCATTTATCAACACTTACAATTAAAGTTTTCGAAAAGTCTGAAACAAATTTCCAGCTCAGAATTGCTTTTACGAAAATCCATTCGAATTTCACTATTCAACTTCAAGCTCGATAAAATCTCAAAGTATGAAACGAACACTTCATTATCATAAACTCAGTTGTTTATACAAATGCTGAATCAACAAATTGAAACTTTTATTGAATTTCAATTGAGTGATGAACTGAAAAAGAGCGAACTCACTTTCAAGTGCTCCGTTCTTGAACGTTGTTTTGACGATGTCAAGAAGGCATCATATTTAAACGGTATGAAAACGCTCTGCAAAGGTTTCAGTTGGATCTGAACCTGCTCCACATCATCCACACCACTCTCATTACGAATTTTCTTCGTCACGAATAAATCTTTCACAATTGGTGTTTCGATATCGTTACGTCGCTTAAAGAATTGCCATTCGTCTACGTTCAGCACTGCACTGAAAATCAATCAATTTATCCGTTATACCCAACTGAAAATATTGAAAATAGATCAGATTCACTCATTTCCCATTCCTATTCCCAACAATCGATTGATTAGCAATTTATAATTTTTATATGTTCATATAATAAAATACAATACAACAGTTCAACAAAAATCTNCATTGCAGTGATATATTATAGATACAAGCATAAGCATATGTCTATGTCTTGCTTTTCTTCTAATTATGAAATCAAGGAAGAAATAAACAACCGAGAAAATAACCTCAGTGCGGGCCCGGTGATATCAATCAAAACGTCGAGTGGTTCAGATTCTGAATTCTGCAGAAGGAATTCAAAAAAATGTATTTGCCCATAACAGGCGAAGATTCTGAAATGCTTTCTTTTCAATCAAATGGAAATTGAATCGAACATAAACTCATTACGCATTGATCATCTTCCAAATAGTTCGCATTCAAAATCGCAAAATTTCAAGTCGCAATCGACAAGCAGTGATTCAATCAGAGTCTTTTATCAATAATCTAACTTTATACTAAGAAAAAGATCAGAATTTTGGAAATAATGACGAACCAACAACCTGTGCTCAGTGGAAATCGCTTTGAAGACAGCTTTCAACAGTTTGGATGCCTTATTTTCATTACGAATCTTTTTGTACGCCTCGAGTTCTTGATGGAACAAGAATCGCTTCACTGATCCCTGCATAATGAACAAAATGTCCCATATCGAAAGTTGAGAAAATGCGAAAGACTGTACAAAAATAAAGAATTTCTAAAAATCATTGCTCATTGATATGCACTCACCTTAGTTGTAAGGCACGTTGTGGATTGCAGTTGTGAGGCATTGCGAAAATTTTGAATACGTTTCAAAGACTGCTCATTGAAGATTTCGTCGTATCTCAATTTGAGATCTAATCTGAAAAATGCTTTTTGCTGAGACAAATGCGATCGGATAACAGAAGATAAATACTTGATAAGAATGCAATAATAAAAACAATAGTGGAAATACATAACGTTTTATAGAAAGATGGCTAAAGTGATCTCGAAATGTACATAAATCTGATGAAGACTTACTTCTGAGCTGCCATGAACCTCTGCATTGTTGAATTTTCGTACTGTGCCGGATTCAGTGGCTTCGCTCGAATTCTATACGATTCGACGCCTTCCACGCCCATACACGAGCCCAGTCGTTGCGACACAATCGCCGGTGTACGACTACACGTCAAGTCTGAATTTCCGCTCAATATTCAACTCAACGAAGATCATAATTGGATATCTTAATTCTACTTAAAAACGAATAACGTTGAGAGCTACAAAAGTGAAACTTATTTAAAAACGAACTGAATTTGATTAATTTCAAAATTAACCGATATGTTTCGTTGAAGGATGCCCGATGTTTGCCAGTCGCAACATTAGAATGGAATGCACTTCGGGTGGATCGGGAAGGGCACTCTGAACGATCGGCACTTGCACACACGCTTCAACTGCCTCACGGCCTTGTCGCAGCAAATACTACAAATTAACTTGTTTCTATAATCAAATTCATAATTTCAGTCTAAGCACATCATTCTTTCTTGCGTACTCTCCAATCAACACACCTCATCCNTTCCCACCTCCTTAAAATACCTCCAAATTCAATCACCTTCAACGCAACATTCGCGCAACCAATTGGTATCAACGATGTGGCATCCCAAACGTCGATTTGCAGATTCTGATTGCACAAGTATGAAATGAAATCATCCGGTTCATCATCGGGTATTGACCTTCTGTCCACTGTGTATTTTACCTAAAAATTTCATAAGATCACCACACATTTTCTTAATACTATAAACTGACTAAAGCAATACGATTACAATAACAACAACAATAATGATCACCTTATAATGATAATTACAATAATCAAACTATACACACAATATATTAGAGACAATTCCATGTTTCATGGCAAATGGAATGAAAAAGGAATGAATGAAAAAGGAATAAGTATAAAACAAAGTCAATACAAACCGTGAAACCATATCCTTGCTCGTCAATCAATTTCGCCGTTGAATCTGAACGTTTCAGCACGTATACTCGTGGAGAATCATTCACCACGTTTTCATTGCATAACACTAAACTGTAACAACAACAACGTTTTAACTGCAATCAATAAGCATAATATCAATCAAAACAACGGAATGATTTTAAAAACTGCCAAAAACTTCAATGTTTTCTAACACTGAACAAATCAACTTAACCCGATCAATATAGCAACCAACCTTTCAGTGGTAATTTGCTTGAAACGATAGAAATTCATCGTAAAAAACAACGACTGAGGTAGATTGCTACGCACGTTTTTGGGTGAGCAACTGCAACTGACATTATATTCGGTAGAAGACAACGAAAATAAGCAATAAAAATTATCTTGTTAATGAAAATTGAGATAGTAAACTGAATGGGTAGAGTACAAATCAAAAAACTCATATTAAACTTCTTTTCGGAACTTCTGAAGTGTTGCTTTAATCAGATAATGTCACTTTTAAAAGCAATTGATAAGATATATGATTATCACTTTCATTCCTATGTAACAATTGCAATCGCTATACATTTTCAAAGCAGTAATGAATATATTCAAACATACATTTCGGTAAGTGCGAGAAACTGCAAAACCACTTCATTGGTATTCAACCGATCGTTCAATTCGACATTCAAATTTGGTTCCTTAAATTCACAGCATCTAAGTTATCACCTAACAACTAGTTATCACTGGTTCAGGCTATCAGTCAACTCGCAGGTGTACTCTATAATCTCTGAAGATGTGCGATTTCGCACAATCAACAAAACGAAAACTCAATGCACAAACCTTAATATTATGAATGTCCACCAGAACGGCTCTATTGCGATTTCGATCGTATATCTGCGTGAAATTGCTCGGCGGTTGCATTATTCTATTGAGTGTTTCTTTGGGAATATTCGAAATCGTCTTCAAACTAAATTTGACCAAATGAATAAAATTAACTGATCAAGAATTAATTAAAAACTGATCAAAGTTAAGAATCAGATAACGAAAATTATTCTAAAACGAACCCTGTTGAATGACCGACGAATACATGTGGACGACCACGAGTTTTGTCGCGTGACACTCCCTGCGTTTCTGTCATAGCTGATGACCCATCAGCAAATCTGTTAGCCTCAGTTTGAGGTTCAGCCTGAGGTCGCACTTGCCCTGCGCCTATCGTCGACGAACGACGTCGTGCTTTCACAACTGCATAACCATCAGAAGCCCTGCCGCTTCTCTGAAACTGAATAGTTGAATTTAGAGGTTCAACAACAGGCCGAAGTTGAGACTAAAAGTATAACTAATTAAATGAAGTATATTCTCATTATCATAAACATCTCTATGAAAAACTAAAACGACAAGATAAAATCGCACGATAGCACAATAAGAAGCATTCAACATACACGAGCTGCCGGAGTCAGTGGTGCCACAATTGAGTGCTTTTCTCTGAAACGCAAGGGAAACAAATAATTTATGATGAATTATGGAAAAAACTGTTTCTTGAAACGGTCTTCATATAATCACTCTTTATCGCATTAATAAATTCCAATGGAGTTGAGATAAAGATGAAATTACGACTGAAACTTTTTCAGTTTTAGCCGAATACCTTTGATAGTTTTAGCAAAATCTTTTCACCTGTCATCTTTTTGAAGCTGAATTCTCGAAATATTGAATGTTTATGGTCAGGTTTTGAAATTCTTCGATTGAGAATACACGTTTAAAATCAGTCTTAGACAACTGTAAAATATGTGCGAGTGTGCACATTCAGACGCACCAAACGGATTCAAAAATTGCACCAAACCTTTTGTCACCATCAACGATTAATTCTTCGTGTTCTAGACTTCGATCGGTCACTATCGATGGTGTTCGATCTAGAAGTGGAACGTCGTCCATCTCCCGTCTCCTGTCATACATTCTCTCGCCCAAATTCAGCTCACCCACTTCTGATCTACTCTGAAATTATTCCACATATTTGCATCTCTTCTATACAACTCTTACGGAACCACTCTTATTACTATTATAAATGACACGATAACTATCATTCCCATAAACATCAAAGCTACAAAACAAACGCAAATAAAGAGTGCATTTGTTTAAGATTACTCAAAGTATCAGAAGTAATAATCGCCAGCCAAACAGTACTAACACGTCTCAGTTGTGCATCATAAGTGAAGTGCAGATGAATTGTCGGCGATAGCGACAACGACTGATAATCTCCACTATCATTCGTCCATTTATCTCGCTGACATCTCATCAGATTATTATTAAAACATAAAGTCTCGTCTGCGTTCAGACACGGTCCTTAATTCAATACAATAAACCCGCTCAGTTCTTCGAATCATCAAGAAGATAATCACTCTCGAATCAGATCAACATATCGAATCGACAAAGAAAATAGAATCAGTCCAAATAAACCTCCAGTAAGCGGGATACTAATCCGCTGATGTGTTGACGTTCCGTCACTAGCACTCGCAGCAAACGGACACCATGCACTCCATCCGATCATCACTGTTTGTGACGATGAAGCGGTACCCTGTGTTTTAAGGACGATCAGATATTCTCATGTCTTTATCACCCACCCTCTGATACACTGATTATATTCATAAATCGGCAATAAATTGTCTACATTCAACTTAACGATGCATTATGAATTCATTGGCAAACTCACATCAAAAGTGCGAACGCCAACGAGATATTCCAACGCAAAAACGATTGCATAATGTACATCGACGACCAATCGCTTCAGTGTTATATTATTTCTCAAGAATAGTGTCGACTCGTTCCTCGATCTAAATTCAACAAAACAGCTAAAAACACCAATTCATGAAGATATTCTACATAAGTGATTGAAGCACGATGATATGCACAGCTAAAGCTAAACTCCTTGGCTCAGTTTTCGACTATAAATCGACCACTTACTTCCAGGTTTCACTCTCGAAACCAGTCTCAATCTTGCAACAAACTGCCGAAGTGAACAAATTCTCTCACAATCAGTTATTGTCTGTCTAAGCAATCGTCAACCGATGGAAATGATCACAAAGCGATTTATTTGCTTACACTTTACCTATATCATTGCTATGCTTGAATGCTATGGGCAGAAAAAATAACTTAATCAAAATATATATATGTGTGTGTATGAATGTTTATGATGAAAATGACCTCAAAAGGAATTTGAAATTCCAAAAAACGACTCAAACAAACCCCGAATTAAGAAGATCTGAACACGATTTCGCGCCACGCAACGATCCCAATTTCCTCCTCGTTAAAGTGTCTTCAGCCTCATGCAACGACGAGAAATGAAAACACTGCGGCTCATCCACATAAACGAAACCATTGTGGATACCAACCTGAATTTGAAACAATTCATTCATTTAACGTTTACCTTTTCGTTCAACTTTAAAATTATCCTCTAACTTCCAAATAGAAATGAAAGACTACACAAACCTTCAGTCTTCGTTCGAGCACTTCCAACGGTTTGATGTGTTTATCATTCGGTGATTTATTGGCTCGATAGAGGCGATCGTTGTTCAGCAACTCGATCAACACTTGTTCAAACTTGATCATTTGCGTACTGAACGATAGCACGATCTCATCAATCACGCATGCAATACACGCCTCTTCCAACACAACGAACGACTGCGATGCATCGTCTAAAAACCGTTCGACGTTTACTAATGCAAAAAATATTGTTTATCATTTCAATATCGAATAATAATAACAATTTCAAAACGGATATTTTTTTGCCATTTCAGAAAAAAACTTCGTTTCACTTCAGAATCGCTCGAAAAACACTTCAAGAACTTCTCACTCACCTTCTACGGCTATCTTCATACCAGGAATCGCTTCGTCAGCAGCGACAATGCAGAATTCAGGAATAAAATCGGCCAGTTTCATTAGATTTTGATGTGTTTGCAAGCAGAGTTCCAACATGGCACCGCCAGCTTTCGGCAGGCTTTCTGCGAGATCCGCTTTATCATCCGTCAAAAACATCAGCAATATTGGTGAACCACGATACAAGCAAAACCTTGAAACGTTAAGCGAATAAATGAAACATCAACGGGAAACAGAAAACACCACGGAACAAAAAAATTATCAAATAGAAATATTCATAAAATACGCCATCAATTCCCAATCATAAATCGAAGAACAAACCTCGAATGATACAATTGTTCCATGGCAGATTTTGAGTTGAGTTCGTGGACTGACGTTGAAACTTTATGTAGTGGGCATACAGTCCATGCTAAGGAGAAGATATGAGGAGTATCTGCTGACGTGCTGACAGCATTCGGACGCTCGTTTACAAGCACTTCGATGACCACATAGACTTGATCATCTTTTATCGACGTGTGGAAGAAGATTAACTGAAGATCAATTGCAATGATCGCATTTGAATTAAACACAGGCGATTTCAATAACTTACCGTAATCCCTTCCTTTATACGAAAACAGAGGGCAAATGATAAATGCATTATTTTTCTATGTAAGTTTATAATATTCATAATCTACTCTCCTCTTTTTTTCAAGACTGTAATTATATATTAGTAATATGCACAATTATAACAACAATATGCTTGATAATAAGCATAATAACAATAAAAATAAAAAGTAAAGTAACCTCATCGAACTGAATACTACTACTGCGATCATCAGAACTAATCCAATCGCTCCGAAATGGTCGACCAAAAAAGACACGTTTCGAACGATCATAAAAACAGATGTTGAGACGATAGCAAAGACCCAATTTCAACTGCAAAGTAAATCTGATTCCTCGACGGAGATTTTAGTGGGTGAATGAATAAAGAGATAAATGCATAAAAAGATACACAATCGAAGATGGCAGTCCTTATGATGAGTGCATAGCAACAACGCGATTGCAACGTCGAATCCGCACAACAAGAATCTATCGATGTTGATGCCAGAGTTCGGCGTTTGGGTGGGTGAACTGCCCGAGTTCTTTGAAGCAGCTGATACCATTGTGTGCAATTGGAATTTGTAGCTAACATCTGCAAAGAAGACTGCTTCAGTTTACAGATCAATGAAACAAGGAAGTCGAGAAATCAACAAAATCTAAACAATACGTATCCTATGAACAATGGCCATAAATTTTCTCAACAGAACGCAACACTTCTGCATCTCAACTCTTAAAATTCTTGACCATACAAAAAATATCCCTCTCTCACAATTTATGACATTACATTCAGATCGTCTATTGAATATATTCCAAATGAGTAAAAAGTATTTCCTAACTCAGTGCAAATGAATACTACAATAACAGTACCAATAACAAGTTCAAATCAAACCTTTTACAGATCAAATCGTCAAAAAGTGATGCGNCCCAATCAAGTCATATTCACAATCGAACAACAACTCACATAACCGATTACCTTGGAACACTATTGCTCTCTCTCTCTCTTCATCCTCCATATTCAATATACATTCATCCATCCAGTTCACTCACTTATTTAATTCCACATCCCATTCGTTAGTCTGTTTGTATTAGCACTCTTCTAGTTGCCATAGTAACCATCCAAAACCGAATCCGATCTAAAGCCACATCACTGAAGATCACACCAAACCACAGTACTATCAAGATGATTTCATTATCGCATCAGTATTACGTTATCATTATTATCATTATCACCGTTCTATTGCCATTAATATAGTGTTATACTCATCACGACTATTATTATGATTACCATCACACAAACAAATGCAAAGAACATGAACGATTGTATACAGCATATCGCCTGTTCCCATTGCAATTAAGCAGTAATTATCATTAATCTCTATGTTCCTCTACCTCCTTTACCACCTTCAAATATCACCCCAAGTCTCTTCAGCATTCAGCCTCGTTTCCCAGCTATCCAAATCCAAATACAGGTAGATCCTCTTTATCTACCATTACCAAATATACCTGTCTACAACCCTAACTAATAAGGATCTATAGTATCCTATGATAGACACATATAATTTCCTAAAGAAAACAATACCTTCAATACCCATCCATCGAATGTTCCCCGTACATGAAATTACAAACTATTCTCACATTTACACTATCTGATTGAGTCTAATTCAACCATCACAACAATATCATCAAATCCAATGTATATGCTCTCAACCTCATTAAAACTTTATTAAATACGAATATATTTCCACAAATCTCTACCTAATAACACTGACACAAGTTACTTATCAATACTNTACTAGCTATATATATAAATAACCCCTAAAAATTACACTAACAAAGCTAAAGTTAAGTAAATTCCCCACCGAAAAGGCCGGTTCATCGACTCATCTGCGCATGTAATGTAGCATTAACCGAAGCAATCGTTTCAACGTAAACCGATAAAATTTATTCACATTTCAATCAATTAATTTCACACGAATGAATGAAAAAATTCGAAGAAGAAACAAACAAATAAAACATCAGAATTAGCAAAACTTCTCGCACGCGATATTGTACAACAATAATAACAAAACAAAAACATGAATGAATTTGAATAAGGAAGTAAATGAACACAACAATAATTAAATAAATAACAACACTGATTTCGATGAGGTGACTGATCAATCAACATAAATACATTCCGAACATGATTTCGGTCAAGACGAGTACGCAAATTAAAATAAACATTCAACAGACAATATGCAAACTTCCCAACAACTGCTCAGTATCTACAACCAACCACTCTAAAATAAAACTTTTTCAAAGTAAAACAACAACGAGAAGAACGCATCACCACACCAGTAACTGTATTACAAATGAAACAACTCAACCCATTCAACTTCCCATCAAACCAATTCAGTCGTTCATCACTACAATCGATAACAACACTGTTACCGACACTAAAATGACGACATTGCTCACAATAATAATAACAATGACAATAATAGCTTCTAAAAGAGATACAAAGTGCGATGCCCGTTCTGTGAACAAACAAATAAAAAAGCGAACGCAATATAAAAACAAAAACGACAATACTACCCACTCAATTCCTATTCCAATTCGTTGCAAATAATCAATTTAATTCCAAATTCCTTCCTCTCAAAACCATAAAGAAAACTTAATCCAATTCATTCCTCTCAAAACCTTCACAAATCACACAACTGATCACCAAACCTCTCCAATTACCAATTCCCTATCGCTACTCACAACTCGGTTCACGTCCCAACATCCTCCTCAAAATGCTATTCTCCATTCGCAGTATCCTATCGACCCGATAAATTATTTCTCAACAAACAACATCATCAAATAATCATAAAACCGGAACATAAAAGCGCATATTCTCCCACAACAAACCAACCAAACAATTCCCAAACCACTATCCACATTCACAGCGAAGTGAAGTTGGCCACCTCATTCCACCGACTCCATTTCCTTCTATCGTTTGTATTTAATCGGTTCAGGTGAATCGCTTTGTTGTCGTCGTTTGCCCAGTGCCAAATACACATCTTTTTCACGTTCACGCTGAGTCACACTCATTCGCTCCTAAAATGCGTAAAATCACCGCTCACATGCCACAACAATTCACTACTAATAACTACTATGAATAAAACAAACACATGTCAAAATGCAAATCAAAACCAAATCAATCTAAACCCAAATCCAAACCCAAACTCGAACCTTCTCGATCGCCCTTCGTCTCTCGTCTCGACTTCTACTCCTTTTGCGCTCCCTCTCGGCCCGTCTCTCCTCTTTGGCTCGTCTTCGATCGTCCTTGACCCGTCTCGACGATCGGTGATGTCGATGTTTCTGATGCACTCTCTCCAAGCCATCATTCCGCCGATCCGCATAATCTTTCGGCGATGTTGCCGCAGTTCCACCTCTACGACGACGTTCATAAGATGCTTGCGGTGGTGACGAACGGAATCTCAAATTTCACAGCGATTAATTCCACACCAACAATATCAAATTTGCAATCAACAGCGACCAAATAAATTGCAACCAATTCAAAACAAAACACCAACTTTCTCGGCTCAATTGGCGATCTCGATCTCGATCGAGACCGTGACGATGATGCTGAACGAGCCCTACGTGTGCCCGCCACGCCATCGCGATCTCTCGAATTCCGATGGTCAACGGCTGGCTGACGAGACGTTTGCCGCGTGGCTGCCGGCACAGGCGCTACAAAAAACCCATCCAATAATATTTGCCATGATTACAACGACTCATTAAAATACCGCAAACAAAAGTTATAACACAACATCAACCCAAAACAATCAACACCCACATGCTTTACTCCGTTGTTTCGCACTCCCTCCCGCAGCACCGTTCTCTTTCCGTTGCATCTCCAGTATTTTCCTGGCCACTTCACGTTTCTTCTTCTCCAGATCACGATCCACCTGTGCCTGCGTTTCGGCGGCTCGAACCTTTGCAAACACCGAGTCGGGTGCGAAACGAATCTTCGTCAAAATCTCATTTAATCTCAACCAATTCGGTGCCTATAATCACAACACCCTCATATTTCCCTCTCATCAAATCACCATACAACTGTCCTTCTCAACTCACAACACAAACAATCTATCCTGAGTGACAATAATATGAAAACTACTTACACGAGTTTTGGTATAAAGTTTGAGTAGAATCATCGATATCGCTTTGACGTCGCGATCACTCGCATCGAACGCTTCGAACCACGGGAATGGTTGCTGCGGGAGGGCGATTGGCTTCTTCAAATCATTTAATCATATTAATAAATTCACTCCTCAAATGCAACCAAACAAAATACCAAATGCAATGAAATATACCGAAATCGTTCTCGCTGCCAAATAAATACAAGCGCATGCGATTGTCTCTGGTCGATAACGTACAAAAATATCCGTTCGTAGACCGTCATTCATATAACTCCTCAAAACAAACAACTTTATCAATTCATTCATAACGATAAACCAAAAATCACCACTTTAATTTCACCAAAACCATCCATATCAACACACCTCATCCATAAAACAACAACAACTCACCACGCTTTCTGCATTAGTTCATGATTATTAATGCATCCCAGTGCTTGTAAATACGCGTAAATCAGTTTGTGTGGATGTCGAACGTGCACGACAAAGCCGAGCGCATTCAGTAACTTCCTTTCGGCGTTTATCACCGACGTCTTAAGACTCAAATAGTTCTTATCCAATGTCATTGGCACATATCTATAAATGCACATGTGATTTATTATTCAGCCATGCACACAGCCTTTCTCGTAAACCTCGCCGATCAATATCAAAATTTCATCAATCCGGACCAATGATCAAATAATAACTTACTTCTTTGATTCGGTTCGCTTTCCATGCAAATGCTCCAAACGATGAAAAACATTGATGACATCGCGCGGTCGACGAGGAGCTTCTTCAATTTTGCTCGCCAACAGAAGACACGCCATCACAGCCGTCTGAATTACAAAAATAGCAATATCAATCAATCATATTCTTTAACTGACATATCTATACGCCAAAATAAATAATGTAACAAATAACTATCACTGGTTCAAACTCAAATGAAAAAACTCACTTCAAAATTCTGTCGAACAAACGATCGCTGATAATAATAACGTTGATAAAGGATCTGTGCAGTTGCGGCAGCCACCTGTGGTAAACGAAGCATAATGGCGCCTGACTGTATAATTTCACAACCCAAATAACGTAATTCCTGAAATTTCATCACACTATTTGCTGCTGCTTTCCAGCACCTGAAAGTTGTTGTACATTCATTCAAATTTATTCATCAGATATGTTCATTTGGGTCGATTCCGTTCTCGAATTAACAATTCGAGAATTTTCCATTGCACAATTAACAACAATTCGAGAACTAATTTTCCATCCTCCTAATCAAAACAACGACACAATTCAAAAATTCACCTGTTCTGTTTGTCTATCCAAACCATCAGCTAGAGATGGTGGATTTTCAAGCTTCGCCAAAGACTTCTCATCTAGTGTCAGTAACCATTTCTCGGCTGATATATCAATACTTGAATACAATCTGAAGTTAAGCCTCGGTTAGTTCATTCAATCATCTTAAATGATTAAAACCTCAGAATGCTGAACCAAATGAATACCCGACAAAATTAATAATTCATACATCAAAACTGGCCCGATTCAATGGCACATGAGAACTGCTAGGTAACGAACGATAATATATGAAACATTTCAGTAATAGCCGCTGACCTTCGTTGCCCGAAACTGCTCGGTTTAATTTTGGAATTTTCAGCGGAATTTGCCACAGCAGAATTTGCCGTCGTCGCCTCATCGGGTTTTTTAACAACGGCGCTAAGCCCGGCAGCAACTGCTGCGGACGGAATGCCGTTGGCTTGCTTCGGACGAGATGAATGATCGCGAGCAGTGGCAGCAGCAGCCGATAACTCGACTGATGATGCCGACTTTTGGCTCAGCAAATTACTCGAGTGAAGCAGCGACTCGATTTTGGTCATTTTTACCGACTACAACAAACATCCATTGTAAACACGTCTAGTTTTCAGTCTTTTGAACATTCTCACATGGAATGCACCCTAAGAACGTGAAGTTCAGAGCGCATAACGCAAAAGACACGAAAAATACGGCGGATACAAGGCAAATAAAAGCAAAAATCGGATGAAAACAAAACACAACGACACTCTCCACTAATAAACCCTTACTAATACGGAATTGAAAACTACTGCGAACCAGAACTGAATTGGTGAGTTTTACAGATCACCGGGTGAGTTTTGTTACTAGTGAATTTTACAGATTGCCGGGTGAGTTGCATTTTTCCGAGTGAATTTTACAGATTCATTTTGATTTTGCGTAATTCTGTACAATTCACTCGTTTCTGAGGCTCATCCGTTCTCTGTAGAATTCANCCAGGATAGCGCATTGTGCCAAAAATCGCTTTATGTGATAGGTTTTCAGAGGTGGGAATTTCTTACCCAATTAGATGGGAATAAATCCAGGAAAGTTGCATATCTTTTTGTGGGGCAGACCCACGAGAATAAAATGCAATACATGGATTGAACAGGAATAAATAATTACCCAAGAATATCCAATCTAAATTGAAAGAGATCAAGAAATAATTACCTACCCAACCGACAGGGAAAATTCGTAATCAAGATATACTAAATCTTGTAGTCGAGATTGACTGCCCCAAAAATTCTGCTTAAAATTGGACGCAAACTGCTAACTTTTGAGAATTATGCCATTCCGCGTGATCACTTGTCGTTTTACAATTAAATAATCAAACGCTCATGACCAGTTTCGATGAATTGGAAATCTTCTCCATTGCAATTGCATCGGAAAATTCACTTCGGATAATCACAAACCTCAACAATCCGTTTCCTATTGGGATCTGCATTCAGAATCAAAAAATGACTGCTCGTGTAACACACTGAATAGATCCTAGCAAAGAACTTTATTTTCACGTATTACAACGTCTTAATGAATACAATAAAATTACACAATGTATCTTGTACAAATACCGGAACATATCAAAACAAAACACATACAACACAAATATGATAAATAGACGTTATTAATAATCGGCATTAAGCAATTGATCCAAATTTACATTGATGATAAGCGATCGGATTGAATGATCAAAATGATAAGAATCAACGAGCGAATACACAAGCGATCGATGGCATTGATCAACAAAATTATTAATCTGCAATCAATCAGTATTACATTTACATTTTACTTTAGGAAATTTGACGGACTGCACGAAGACTTTTCGATTACTTTCCACGAATGCTTCGTTAAATCTTCTCAATGAAACTCTATTTCTCTTTGATAAAACA